AGAAATGAGCTATTAGATCATAAAAAGGCATGATGGAAATGGAAATGCATATTACTAAGTGAAAGAAGCCAATCTGAAAGTTCTACATACCATATGAATCCAATTATGAGACATTCTGGAAAGGGTGAAACTATAAAGATAATAAAAAGATCAGTGGTTACTGGGAGAGAGGGAAGGGTGAGGAAGGAATGAATATGTAGCACAGAAGTTTTGGGGGCTGTGAAAGTTTTCTGTATGATACTTTAATGGTATATACATGTCATTATACATTTGTCCTAACCCATAGAATATACAGCATCAAGAGTGAACGCTAATGTAAACTATGGACTCTAGGTCATAATGAAGTGTCAGTGCAGGTTCATCAATTGTAACAAATGTTCCACTCCAGTGTGGGATGTTGATAATTAAGAGTATGCATGTGTTGCAGGAGATACATGGGAAATCTCTGTGCTGCTTTCCCAATTTTGCTGTGAACCAAAATTACGCCTTAAAAATTCTTTAAAACAACAACAACAACAAAAACAGCAACACAAAGAAAATGGCTGCTTGATGACCAAACTCATCATCCCTTGGTCCCAGATCGCCCAAAGGCTGACTGCACACCTGGATGCTGGGATCCATGAGATCCTGCTGTGCTCTTACATTAAATTCCTAATATCAAAGCCAGCTTCAGCCATAAAACAGTTTCTGAGACAATTGCTCAAAAGCAGAATTTCCTGTATATTAATCTCAGACTTGAGTTGAGCCAGTTCCTTTCCTGATACTATTAAGAAAGACTGACAGTTACTATCAAACTGCTGTCTTTTTGTTCTTATCCCATTTTCCCACATCATTTAGGGTGACGTATAGCAACTGGGGTAAAGGGGCTTGAAGAGCATAAGGCTGATACTTTTATTCTTTGCATTTTATTTCTATTCCATGTTCTTGCAAACCACTAAAATCCAAGGTACTTTGATATCTACTTTTCTAAAATATACAATGCAAGTGGACCAGGTCAACTACAAATTTCAATTTAATTCAATAAACATTAACCGAGCACATGCTACTGCTTATCAAAATGATGGCTGTGAACATAACCCAATGCGCAGGACTTTAATCATATCATTCAGTAGAAAAGTCACATGCACATGAAATTTAAAAACACACATACAATATATATATGGAGTCAAATATAAGGCACTTAATAAATATTCATTGCAGTTAAGTGCCATGGCAGACAATGCATTTGCTCCAGTTGGGTATCACTGATTACATTTCAGATCTTTATAAATAAACCAATTATTCTTTGAGTTTAAATAGTTTCAAATGTGTAAGAACTGTCAGCTCTCTTGGTGGACTCTTCCTAGGAAGGCTCTGTGCTTTGCTTTGCAACCCTCAGAAGCAAAACAAGGCTGAAGTTATTTAGTATACATGATTGATTGAGGGTAGGACAATGAAACAAAAAAATATTACAGTGTTCTAGAGGTCTTTCTTATGCTCCTAGGGTATTTAAACTCTTGATTTTGTTATTTTCACACACAGTGTGAATCAGATACTACAAATATCAATATTAAAATGTATTTATGAGACTATCAGGCCTAGTGAGGTGGCTGACACCTGTAAGCCCAAAACTTTGGGGGGCCGAAGTGAAAGGAATACCTGTACCCAGGAGTGTGAGACCAACCTGGGCAACACTGTAGACTCCTCTACACAAAATATTCCACCACAGGTGGCATATGCCTGTAGTCTCAGCTACTCAGCAGGCTGAGGTGGGAGGACTGCATGAGCTTGGGAGGTTGAGGCTACAGTGCGCCGTACTGTGCCACTATAACATAGGTGACAGAGTGAGACCGTGTATCAAAAAAGAAAAGAAAAGAAAAAAAACCAAAAACAAAAACAAAGACAAAAAGAATATTGACTTTTATTCTAATTGACATCTGATTTTATAAAAATCATTTTCAGTCATTCAGAATGAAAGTCAAGCCCAATAGAACATGCAATTTAAAAGATTTAAAAGATTTACAGCACATCTGAAATTATTCATCATCCATTTATTTACGAGTGACTAAAATATATCCTTGACCAATAAGGTTTGAGACTTTAGAATATTAAGTGTTTAGTTATGACCCTGAAACAAATTAGTTTTTCAAAACACATCAAGTAAAATATTTTAATAAAATGATTTGGGAACTATCCTTGTAAAAGTCACCCTAAGGGCAAACATTATTTGTTTATTTAATCTAATTTTGCCAGGGATTTGCATTCCCTGGGAGGTTGTTCCAATCCCTTTACTTTGTACCCAGATCCCCATCCTAAAACCATCTATCTTGCAATATCCAGCAGGTGAAACGAACCTCTAATTATTTTACTGACAAAAATCAGGAAACTCAACAAGCTTTCCCCGATATCTACAGCTTTGTCTTTTCTAATAGCTTGTGTTTCAATCTCAGAAGAAGATAGGCCTCTTCTGTTTCTCATCCATTCTCCCTTTACCTCTAGAAGGTGAGGCTGGCCTGCCATACCGATCATTCACTCTCTCCTAATGCTTTCCATTTTGCCTTTGAATATTGTATTCTATAAAACAAGTGAACAATTAAACTTCATAAGATACCTGCCTTTATGTTTATATCTTTTTAAACAATTTACCCTCTCTTCTCCACCTTTTCACATTTTTTGACATAAGCAGCTTCTTTTTCTCTTGAAGACTTGCTTCTTTCACAGGGCCTCCTAACCCCACCCCATCTGGAAACAACCAAGGTGTTCCCTGCTGTTCTGAGTATGGCAAGCTAGCTGCTACCAACGCATGGGCTGGCTGCCACTTTGAAAGCCTTCTGATAGCATTGCCACTTCTGAGACCTGTGACCTCCCCCCAGTCACCGTTCCTCAAATTGCCTTCTTGCTCTGTTGACTTTTTCAAAATGCTCCTCACTGTTCTCTCCAAGGTCAGCCCCTCTTCATTCCAATGCTCCCACCACAGTCATGGTCCTCAAGCCCAGCTAGGATTGGGTTCCTTCATTGCCCAGAAGCCTTTAATGCCTCTGTGTCTGCTGCTAAGCTAAACCCTCTCTAGCCAGCCACTTGGGCTCTTCACACAATGGCTGTCATTCCTCTGTAACCCCTTTCCACACCCTGCAATCAAGTCAGCTGCAACTCATTTCTACCCATTTCTTTGGACGTTCCAATCTCCTTGTATAGAATCTTTCCTTACCCTCAGGAGAAGCCGATCAGAATCTACTAGAACTTGAAAGACCAAATCATCGCTACTGGTTTGCTAGTCCAGAGCTTTTATCTGAAGCTCCAGAAGCTTCTGATAAATGAATATCAGGGCATTTATCCTTGCCTTGGATTCCCTTCCTTCACCAGGTTGTAGGTTCTTTGAAGGAGGCAGCTAAGGAAGCTGACACAGAAGAATGAACAGAGTCAGATGAATTTAGATTCAAGTCCTGCTCTTACTGTCTCTGTGGTCACTGGTCCCAGGCATGTTACTTACTATTTTTAATCACCTGTTTCCCCAAATGGAAGAGGGAAGTAACAACGTGTCATAGAACTGTGGTGAAAATTACCCGAGATAGGAAATAAACATCTGGAATCCAAACATAGTTATAAAATTTTTGTTTTTTGTTCTGTTTTGAGATGGAGTCTTACTCTGTCACCCAGGCTGGAGTGCAGTGGCACAATAGCTCACTGTAACCTCCACCTCCCAGGCTCAAACAATTTGACTGCCTCAGCCTCCCAAGTAGCTGGGACTACAGGCATGCACCGACATGCCTGCCTAATGTTTGTATTTTTAGTAGAGACAGGGTTGCACCATTTTGGCCAGGCTGGTCTTGAACTCCTGACCTCTACCTGCCTTGGCCTCCCAAAGTGCTGGGATTACAGGCATAAGCCATGCGTGGTCACGGGTTCATATTACTCAGTTTAGGTTGGGGCTGCCTATGGTAACCAAGCATCCTTTTTTCTTTATTTTTTTTGCAGAACAGGCTATATAGAATATAAATGCAAACACTTGAAAATTTCACGTTTATTTTTCTCTAGGGAAGCCAAAAAAGAACTGTTAACACTTATTATTCTTCCCTGAAATGAAGATGGAAGGAGAAACGAAAAAAGGGAGAGAGAAAGGAAAAGAGGGGAGAAGTGAGAAAAGGAGGTTGGTGGGGAGGAGGAAGAGAGATATTTAATGTTTTTATATGAGAGAAATAGAATGTTAATCAACTGGAAATAGAGAAGTGCTTCCAAAACACTGCATTTATAAAGCCCAGTTCCTCCAGATTTCAAAAATATTACCAACACAGGTCAGGCTGTAAAGCAAATAAATGTTTTCCATTTGTTTCCCAATTCAATCCCTTCAGCTTTCTGAAGTAACCTGCACATAAATGACTGTAGATGAGCCTTAAGCAACTGCTTGTCTATTTTCTTAACATGGCTTGGCTAGAAGTTGTGAACATTGGCTCAGAAGACCTGGTTTAGCAGTGACCATCAAAACACCTCACAACTTTGCACTGGGCATACACTTTGCTGAGTAGGGCAGTAAGCAAAATTGGCCTTTGGCTCACCGCATAAAAAAGTTATCCTTAATAACCACAGTAAAAGGAAGTGGGGAGGTTCTGTTCTCATCAAGTAAGTGAAGCTAGCTAAAATGTATCATTTGCTAAGCCTCTCATCATCAAAATAGCAACTACATATGTGAGAAAAATATCCCAGATCCTATCTTCTACAGGTTACTGACTCAGTAACCTTTTGAGGATGCTGAAGACATTCCCCAAAAGAAATCTGCATTACTTTTAATCTGCTATAAAGCTTGGCTTTGCATCAGTCATCCTAAGAAATTCTAAGAACGTCAAAATGTATTAATCTCTAGTGAACTGAATCTCTGTAACATACTCATTCCAAGTGTTTTGGCAAAGTAGCCCTATGTCACTAGCTTAATTGGTGGCAGGTTATTTTCCAGCTGTCAAATAATCTTTTCCTATTAAGGAATCAGAAGGAAAAACATTCACTCATAAAGAAATTGAATAACTTGGAACATGAACAACATAAGTATTTATTTGAAAAACATTTTTCATTTAAGTAAAATGGCAAATTAGCTAGAGTAGCTTCTTACTGCTAATTCTATTTGCACTCACAGTCACCTTTATTCATCATATTCAAAGATATTGCTACCAAAAAGATTTCACAAAGCATTTAGAAAAAAATATATACAGTCTCTCTAATAGAAGTTAATTAAAACAACAAAGCTAGGCAATGTCAAGCTAAGATAGGAAACCAATTGACATGTATAAACACAAATAAATAAATATGTACAAAAGAATCTATGCCAACAATAGATAAACTCTTTACAAAGCAAGTGAATGGTAACAAGAATGGAAAATATCTCAGGATCCTAGACTATGATTCTAACACAATGTAGTTTAAAAAGAGAGAAAAGGAAAAGAAAACATAAGGGAGAGTATTAACTGATGCTATCTTCAAAGGCAGGCTGAACTAAATTCAGGCTCCCCAGCTAAATTCCTGACCCTCTGTTCTGATGGGGCCTAAATGGAGATGAGAACTGAATGCTTAGAACTGATGAGAGAATTTGGCTCAATCTTTCAAATCCATTTACAAATGTTTCCCTTGAGCAATTTCTTAATTTTTTTCTCATCTGGTTATTGGAAATTTCTAAAGTGGAGCTGACACTGTCAAATATGAAAAAAATATTTTTCTGGAGCCATATGAATATCAGTGCAAATCAAAAGCAAAGCCATTTTGAAGGTATATATCTTAACTGCTATTGACCAAATAAGCACTTTGGGCAGAAATCTGACTAATCTAATTAGTTGAAATCTACCACGAATGTCTAAGGTTTGGGGGGAAATGTATATGAATGTTCAATGACTTAATTTTCATCCATATATAACCTCTGCCAAAATAAGCAGTATGTTAATACATGCCTATTGAAAAGGATTTGGCTCTACTGTAGTGAATCTCAGTGACCTTAGATTTACTATTCTTTTCTACTGAATACAACCTTCCCCTGTGAAAGCCAAGCTGGGTAATGCTCGTGTCTCCAAGGATGGTGTTGCAGGATATTGCAAAATGGAACAGTAACAAAAAACCCACTGCCTCATTATCTCATCATCTGCTGGAGCCAGGCAAATAGCTTCATGATTGAAGCTCAGCAAAAGGTGAGAGGTCCCTTGGGTTGCTGAGTAGCCTAAAAGCTCTCCCATGTCTCATATTGCAAACTGTTTTTTTTTGTGCAGAGAAAAAGGCCTCTAGGTTCCTGGTTTCTAGACTTTGCCTTTAAGCAGACTGGCTTTGACAGAATGTCTCCTTTTGTTTTTTTTTTTAACTGCATTTTAGGTTTTGGGGTACATGTGAAGAACATGCAAGATTGTTGCATAGGTACACACCAGAATGTCTCCTTTTCTTATCACTTCCGCTGTTGCCTCCCAGAACCTGATACTTCCCAGATAACTCAGAGAAAATGTGAAAAGGCACAGCATGCACTGAGACGGATTTCTAAGAAACCGCACAGGACTCCATCGCCTAAGAACAATTACAATGTGGTCTCCTACACATTCATTAGCAAGCAGGCATTACTCAGAATAGTCTGAGAGTTAGACAAGCTGAATAATAGTATGCATGGCTTCTATGCAGCAGTCTGATCCATAAATAATACACCATCTATCTTGCCAGACCTCCTCAGGCTCTTACATACTATAATCAGAGGACTGACACACAAGCAATATTTAGACTAGCTATTGCAGACCCAGCTGTTTATAAATTATTTGGATTATTATAAGTCACCATGTGTCTCACTTCATATTCCTTGGAACAAAACTCTCAATAGGGGAAATAAGAGGTTTTCATTTGTGCAATAGGAAATATCTGAAAGTCTCTAAAGCAAGGACAGAACCAGAGAGTCTCAACTGTGTGTCTCCTAAAAGGAAAATTCCACTGCATACAGCATGGCTAATGGAAATTCTCCTTCCTCCCACAAGCCTATGGGCTTAATATACAGTAGAGAGCCAAAAGTAGAGGTGTAATGGATTCATTCTTAAACAACTCCTGGGAGGTCCACATTGATGGAACATCGATACTAAACTTAACTTGAATGTATGGGATTAAATTATACTTAATGCTTTGGCCTTATGCCTTGAATAGAATAAGTAAAATATTAGAAATGTATATAGCGGCCGGGCGCGGTGGCTCAAGCCTGTAATCCCAGCACTTTGGGAGGCCGAGGCGGGTGGATCACGAGGTCAAGGGGTCGAGACCATCCTGGTCAACATGGTGAAACCCCGTCTCTACTAAAAATACAAAAAAAAATAGCTGGGCATGGTGGCGCGTGCCTGTAATCCCAGCTACTCGGGAGGCTGAGGCAGGAGAATTGCCTGACCCAGGAGGCGGAGGTTGTCAGTGAGCCGAGATCGCGCCATTGCACTCCAGCCTGGGTAACAAGAGCGAAACTCAGTCTCAAAAAAAAAAAAAAAAAAAAAAAAAAAGAAATGTATATAGCCTCATCAAGGTCAATATTTTGGAAAACCTTTCTTAAGCATGTTATGGTTCTGAAGGTGTAATATTTAAAATAAAAAAAATCCTTTTTAATCTTTGGGTCAAGCAGTAAACAGTCTTTTCTGCCTGTGGTTGAAATGTCACTGCAAATGAGAAAATGGTACTGTATTTACAGATAGAAACACTGGAATAGAATTTGTGGGCATCCAAAATAGTTACTTTTTTATTGTTGAGAAAGAAGATGCAGAAAATGGGTACATCCTGACGTAAATATTAGGTAGAGTAAAATGAGCTCTATCTAGGGTCTGTCCTCAGTGTGGCTTCTCCATTGCCTCTATTTTAACGTCTCCCTTGCATTATGATTACTCTGATTCAATTATATATTAAGAAAATCATAGTTTCTGGGCTACTGAGTCATGTTGCTCTCAGTACTGAAGTTTTAGTGATGATGACAACTCTTCCATGGAATAAATATATTAAAAAGAAAAATTATGAATTTCATAAAAGCCTTAACAAAATACATTCCTCATATATATGCAGTTATCTAGGTAATAGCATATTTACATCAATAGTTGCAGCTTTCACTGATTGCAAATCTTCACATTTCTGCAGACTGATTTCTTTTTCTCACATTAAAGACATTAAAACTTAGTGCTGTGGCTGAAGGTGTCTGACATGATAATATTTTTATAGAAGTTATCTGAATGAGCATTGCAATAACCCTTGACCTTATCAATGACCTGATGGACAGGGATGATTGAGGTTTGTTCTCCATCAGCATGGGCCAGTTTTGACAAGGACTTGTCCATGGAAGTATTGTCTGCAAGAAATGATACAAGAAATGAGGTTCAAGATGAGCTGGTGAGATGCCTACAGGCCTCTATACTGTACACTCTGTTTTGCACATTAAAGAAGAACAAAAGAAAATAAAGCTCCGATTCTGTCTTAGATTAGGTAATAGGCAACATTAAACTTCCATGTTTTTTTTCTTCTAAGTACACTCCTGATAATCACTAAATGTCAACTGGCCTTCTAGTAATTTGTACTGTGGCTTACTATAAGAAATATTCTTGAATATGGCAGAGCCAATGAAAAAATAATTGGAAAACCACATCAAAAAAATATGCACTATATACAAGACTACATAATAAAGGAATTAAAATGTGCTGAAATACTTGTGGAAGAAATGGTATGACATCTAAGATATGTTTTCGAATAATATAGGAAGGGAAAAATGGGTGGGGTGTATAACTGGCTGTAAGTTGATGGGAATAAGGGGATTCCTAATAGTATCCTCTCTACTTTTTATATATGTTAGACAGTTTTCACAATAAAAATTTTATAAAATTAAAGGATTTTGGAGAAAAAAGCAAATGAAAGTAAATATGAAAGGCTACTTCGAACATGTTTTCCCATTTTTTTTACTTGGATAATTGGAATATAGCAAAAAGGATGCTTTTTGTGAATTATTATTTTAATTGTAGCATTCAAAGTTATTAATAAAAAATGATTTATTTGTATTAATTATCTTATAGTTTCAGAGTGATGCCATTGCTAATGACACTAATATTAGAACAACTGATAGTAATAAAGGACTGCTAAATACTTTTTTAATACAATTTTCAGTATCATATATTTAAATGTTATTTTCCTATACACCAAAACTTTGTAAAATTGGCTAAGATAATGCTCTGAAATTTACTTAAGCTCTATTATCTGTAAACATATACAGTTGTCTTCATGTATCCTACAAATATCTTTTAAGTACCTCCTTCTTCAAATACGCTTTAGAAAGAAGTACCTCCTTCTCCAAATACACTGATAAAGAAGATATGAACTTGGATAAAGTATTCAGTTTCCCATGTATCTTCTCTATACATTGTGGAAAAGGCAAAAACTCTATCCTGAAAAACTTTTAGAAATCATGGCTCCAAAATTAGAATCTTCACTTCAAGGCATTTTACAGTTTGAATATGTTGGACTCAGTATGTGACAAAACATTTAAAATCCACCAATAATTGGTAAAAGCCATCACCATCATGATATCTGTTGTCTTTGGAAACTATTCAAATTGCTCGACTGTTATTTTGTGTTGAAGCAGATACTAAATAAAATAAGGGCTGAAAAGGGAAATGGGATGCTCAACCCATACTAAAGGATGCAAGAGAGAAGAACAGATGGTTCATGGAGAGAATGGGCAAACTGAAGCATGGTGGAACAACTGAAGCATTTTCCAATGTTGGCGAGGAAAAGGCTCAAGGAGTCATGACAAAAGGCCCCTCCCCATTAGGCTCTCAGCAAGCTGATTGATTCTGAGCTTCCTTTCAGTTCATGTATTCACTAGCCATTGGTTTTCTGGTGGGGATTTTTCTATTGACTTATATATCAATACTGAATAATTTGTGCTTGGTGTTTTTAGAAAACCACATATCCTCAGAGAGATGTCAAGGATATATTCACTCTGCTTCCTTTGTAACTTCCAGTGGCATGTACTTTTAGAGATTATGAACAGCTTCTTTTCAATGTGATCCAATTTAATGGGTCAGTTTAATAAAGCAAAATTCTGAATGAGGGCTATATATTTATATATGCCACTCCCAGTCTTCTGGTTAGATATTACATTATGGTTAATAAAGGCTTTGATTATAGTTACAAGTCTGAAAACCAGGGGCTAGGGATATGAACTATTATTTGACCTATGCTGAAATTTCAAGCAGAAAACAATCTTCACAAAGCAGGCTTGGAATTGACAGTTTCACTTATATGACTTCTATGAATGTACCATGACATATCCAGCAATCCATAAGAGTAGTGGAAAAATAAAGCATCTCATGTTCTACAACAAATCTTTTCCCAAGTACTGCTTTTTGTTATTATTTTACATGATGTGTAATCCACTGACTCCAGACCATGGTACATTTCCTAGAAGGAGCAGCTAGCAGACAACCCATGCAGAGAAGAGCCAGCAAAGACACACTATCATTCAAAATTTCAGAAATTCCAGCTCAACGCAGGAATGTCATTGTGCTAGCTGAAAAGAACAAGCCATTTTGATGATGCAGCAAGAATCTTAGCTTAATCCATGCATATATTCTCTTATCACCTTGCAAAAAAATTCATGCATTCAAAAAAGTAATGAAAGTTTACCTGAATGATCCACTTTTGTTGAAGGAATGCTCTTAGGAGACATTATCTATACCATAAACATATGAATATCTAGATCAATTCCAAGAAATGAACCAACTAGATATCCATGATGATATGCAGTGACTTTCTGCATACCCTGAGTGATCCCCAGGTTGATAACTGTTCCACTGAGAACTGGCTGGGTAGCCAAAGTCTATGTGAAGTCAGTTGACCGTAAACCAGAATTTATTATACCATTGAAGTAATACCATGTAACTAACTATATTCTCATCCTAGTTGACAAGAACCCATTTAGCCCCATTTTTTTTTTTTGTTACGGGAAACAAGAACATTAATGCATTCTTTAAAAAAACAAAACAAAAGGCTGAGTGTGGTGGCTCACACCTGAAGTCCCAGCTACTTGGGAGGCTAAGGTGGGAGGATTGCTTGAACCCAGGAGGTATAGGCTGCAGTGAGCCTCCACCATGAGTGTGCCACTGCACTCCAGCCTGGGAAACAGAGTGAGACCCTGTCTCAAAAATAAAATAAAATAAAATAAAATAAAGCAAAATGAAGAACTCACAATATTTTAAAATAGTAAAGTCTGCCTTTGGACTTCCATTTCTGCATATCCTCTTTTATCTTCTAGTCAGTTTCCCCCCAAATCCTATAGCCCTTTCTTTCCTTAATATTTCCAAAATGTCTCATGTTCCAAATTATCTGCCTTGTTATTGTCTTTCCTCTTTTAAGAGTGGCATTTCTTCAGGCCAGCTATTTTCAGTTTAAGAAGAAAGTGTTCAATTGGTCTAATTCCTATTTATTTATGACTGACTGATACTGCATTAATTCTTTGTATTTTAGAAGGGGAGGCAAAATGAGTATCAAATTTTAAGTTTGGTTCAATAAAGTGAAAAAAAATAATTCATTATAAGCAAAAGATGCTTTGTGCCATGGAACCATCAAATAAGTAGAATCATCAATCTTAGACTATACACCTGTCTTCAGTTTCATTACACAGGTATTCTTAGGCAGAAGGGCACAGACTTCTTAATTTTATGCAAAATTGTGAAGATGATTCAAAATCTGTACCTTTTTCTGGAAGAGAATCAACAGCCTTCATTCAATTCCCCCCAAAATGTCCTAGACTCAAGATGCTTTAAGAACTGCAGTCCTAAGTTGCTCCAAGTTCTTGGATTTTTAATTAATTTTGGAATTAACAAACTCTCTAACCACTCAAGACTTTTTCAATAGTACTATCATGAATATCAGGCAATGGTCACTCCAGTGGCAAGACATAGAAGATGGTACAAATGGGGACATGTATAAGGATTCGAATGTAGAGGAGGGTCATCTGTAATTCAACTATTTGCAATATGAATAATTACAGACACATCACACACCTTACTCCCTATTTGCAAAAAGCCAAGTATTACTCTTCTCTGTGCCATTCACCTTTGCTCCCGTTTAATAGCTAAACAAATTAAAAATTAAAAAGTTATTTCCATTATCTTTTTAGAATTATCTTTAATGAGGAAAGTGCTCTGTTTTAAATGTTGACAGCTGTCTGCCAGGGGTTTAATTAGTATTTAAAAGTAGCAATTCTATTATTTCCCTTTGCAAGTATTAAAAGGTTACAAATTTTCATATCATTCATTATCGAGTGCTGCAAAATATTACTATTTTTTTAAATGGGGTCTTGCTATGTTGTCCAGGCTGTGGTGCAGTGGCATAATCATAACCCACTGCAGCCTGAACTCCAAGGTGCAAGCAATCCTTCCATCTCAGCTGCCAGAGCTGTTGGGACTCCAGGCATGTGCCATAGTACCTGGCTTAAAATATTCTTTATTTCCATTGTGTCATCAGGACTTTTTACATAAATGTTCAGTGTCAGAATGTGCAGTAATTGCAAATATCATGAAACAGCAAGGTATTAAGAAAGACAATGTTTCTTACAGCCCTGTATCACTTTCCAAATATTATGTTCTTTCAGATGTAATCAGTGATTTAAAGAGCAGTTGTTAATAACATTTGCAATGTTAAGGAATTAGGTCTTAAATAAAATATATGCCCTACATATCATTTCTTCCTGCTCCCATGACAACTTGTCCAGTAACTATCATAGTCTGCTTAAATAATCCGTAATTCAATTTTTAATTTTAAAAATAAAGATATAACTTTTTAAATAAAATATTGTTATTTAAAGAAAACTAAGTTTTGAATCAAATGAAGTTACAATAATATACAGAGTGAATAATATTATGATTACATAGCTAGAGTATGAGTTACAAAATTTTTAAAAGGATGAAATATTCATAAATGTGTTGGATAATGTCTCTGAACAGATTTTTATTTTCATAAATCTAAAAGATGCACCCTCTCAGGCACTGTGATCCATCAATCTTCATGATATGCCAATTTTTGCAATGAAAATGTGATGACAACTAAACTCCAGGACATCTTTAGACTCACCTGCGTGACTATTCCTTTTGAAATAGGTGTTAGAGCTGGATTTAGATTTGGACGTAAGATAGGTTGAGTTGGAACCAATGGAGCTTGAAGACAAAGATTTTCCTAGATTATCAGAACTTTTCTTGATGATATTGGTAGCTGTCTTACTCCAATCTGTAAAAAAGTGACATCATGCTATCAATCTGCTTTACAGGGAATATGTTCCACTCTGAAAAATCATCACCGCATTTTTTATCTGGAGCATCTGATTTTCTGATATGCTAGCAATGGCTAAGAGAACAGACTGACATGTAAACAAGAAGAAACTGAAAATTTCTTACTTTGACTTTGTATATGTACTGTTTAAAATCTCACTTTCAATATCCTAAGAGTGAGAAGTAACCACTGATGGTAAAAAGAAAAAGAAAGATAAAGGAAAAACAAAAAGACAAAGTGGTTTTTTTTTTAATATATACTGAGAAAAATCTCTTTGTCTAATAATGTAATTGGGGATCTACAAAATGTGGAAAGGTGAGTCTGCTGTAGTGGAAAATCTGGGTATCTGTGTTGTTAAATTAGACATCAAACCTTGGGCTACTCATATAACTTGTATGGAATTCATGCTTCCCCTCTGCAGAATAGAAGGGTTGGGCCTAAAGTTCTCAGATCTCTTCCAGTCCTCATGTTCTACAACTCCAACTAGGCATCTGCACATGCTCCACTTCAATAGATTGCTCCCGTTGGGACTGGGTTGCTCTGACAATGGAAGACAGAATGACAAACTTTCCCATCTACTTTTAGATGTAAAATTTAAACAACCCTTTACCTGAGTTATCTGCTAACCGAAATCTACCACAGCAGAGATGCCGCCGCCACTGTTTCTGAACATTCTCCTTCATAGCACAGTGGAAGATGAATATAAATAAACCTGTGACAAAAGAAAATATAAATATTTAAGCCAACTGGCACATCTTTAAAGAGAAATCTTATAAAATACACGGATTCATTTTAATTTTAAATTTTTTACATCTAAATCACTAAGAAACAAAGATCTTAAGGAAATGAATCTTGCAGTATGTAGCAGACACTTTAATCCTTTAGAAGAGAACACAAAGGCTCTGATAAAACTAGAATAACCACTGGGATCTGATTCTGTCTTTGACTGTTCCGTTCAGCATTCATTATAACTTAACCTAAAAACCAAGCTGAAATAAGCAACATTCAATTTTAGAAGTATTTAATATTCCCCATATATTTGTTCTAAAATTATTATACTTACCATACATATTTTAACCAAAGAGAAAATGGAAAACACACACAAGCTCATCACCTGTTTCAATTTGTATATTCTGAGCTATTTTATGTATATATATTGTAGTTATACTCACAGTGTATTAGCTTGGGCCATAGAAAAGTGGCATTTTTGCCAGTGAAACATGGCCCCAAATCATCAAAATCATGTGGCTCCACCTGGCCTACTTTAGCTTTTCAAGATTTTAACACAGAAATATTGCCATAATAAAAAATAGTCTTCATATTTATAGTCACTTTGTGCCTATCAAAATGTGTCATTTGTGTCTTAGAAGCCAATCTCTTTCAACTTCTCGGCATTTGCTTCTGCATTTTAACACTCTTATTGAGGTGTCATCACTCTTTCTCTCTATTAGGCTATACTTGGTTATTGCCATTAACTTACAAATGAACTGTTAAAACACTTTTTAAATAACAAACAAAAAATTCCTCCCTTAACCTCCAGTTTTCTTTCAGTTTCAACCTCTTTATTCCCTTTCCCAATAAAACTTCTTGAAATGGTTAACTTTTGCTGTCTCAGCTTTTTCCAACACCTTCTCTTCTCTGCCCACTCCAAACAGATTGCTATCCACATCCATGACCCCACAATGACTGCTCTTTTCAAGAATGGTGGCGACTCCCTTGTTGCTGAGTTTCCCACGACCACTTTACTAGGCCTTTCAGCAGCACTCAACATAAACAGCCCTTCATTGTCAAGGTCATTTGCTAACACTTTGCTTCCTAATTTGCTGGATATTCCTTCTTGGTCTCTTTAGTAGATTCTTCTGCTTTACTCTAAAAAGGTTTACATGCCTATGACTTGTAATGTTCATCTTTTCTACGGTTACACTGTCACTTTGGGTACTAACACTTCTAAAATATAATCACCACATACTGATTTTTATATTTGGTTCTGTTCCTTTCTCTTCTCTACCTCTGAACCAGGATTCCAACACACACTGCTCAGAGGACATCTTCACTGGGCAGTATTTCCACTTGGCAGCATCTCACATCCCAGGTGTTCTGAAAAGAAGTCCTTGCAATCATGACCCCCAAACCACACACACATCCCTTTATATCTCAATGTGTCCGGCTCATTCCAGCCCAATGTCGTGCTGAACACTCTTCTTCCAGATCTTTCATAACACGTTCCTACCTATTGTTCAGGTCTCAGACCCACTGTCAACTTCTCAAAGAGGCCCTCGTCAACTGTTATTAGTTTTTAATTTTAACATTTAGTCACTCCCTTTCACATACCTATTTGTTTCACAGAACTCCTCAGTACCTAACATTCTTGTATTCCTCATTTATTCATTTATTCCTTTGCTTGATTGTCTCTTCCTAGCAGATAAGAAGCTCCAAGAGAAGAAGGATGCTCGTGTATTCAATACTGTGCTGGCTGTTCCAAGAACTAAGTAGGAACTTGACAAATGCTTATTGATGGAATGAATGGTAAACAAGATCAATAAATCATGTAGTCTATATGAGTTAACTGAATGCTTACGTGTACACGCTAATGTGTTAAAAATGTGTTTGGAGATGGGGAGGTTAAAAACAGGAGTGAACAGTCAAATTAAGAGGTAATAGGAGTGAAATGAAAATACATTTAAGGGAAAAGTTTCTGAAAAGCATGCAAGTAAGTTGCTGAGATTGTGTCCCCATAAAATACTAAGCAGTATATCTATGTAAGTGAGGGGTTTTTAGGGGATCTAGGGCTTGAACTGAACCTTAAGTTCAGTAGGGCAGTGAAGGAAGTATCCAGGAAGGGTAACTGATTCAGTTACTTTTTATTAAGCACTGCTAAGCATGAGGCACTGAGTTTTAGGAGTTGGAGATTCAAAGGTGAACAAGGTAGACAATCCTAGTTTTCATGGGGCAAAGGGTCTAGTATGGAATGGCACAAAACTTAAGACAATCCTTTTAAGGGGCCATTAAAAGTTACATGTTCCTTTCAAATATGGAGTATTCATTAAGAAAACTACATTGTAGCTTGTACAATGGAAAAAGTGGAAAAAAGTCTTAATAGTATCTTTTAGATATGTTTAGTTAAATTTGCAAAATATGTCTAAGGTTATGCTTACATGTTTTTATTTAGTATAAAGATTCAAAGGGGCCCTTAATTTTCAGAAAAAAATACAAATGTTAATATAGAAAAGGAGCTTGCTTAATTTCTACATGATGGGTTGTGATCACAGCAAAAGGACTCTAGGTTGATTTTCCTTTGGGTTTAGCAGCTTGTGGTTTGGTGATTAGCCCTGAGCACAAGCCTGATACTTAATAGGTGCTCTCTATAAATTCCTATTTAAATTACTAAAGGATCATTACATATTTTGACTTGCAGAAAAATGCCACTATGAAAGTACTGACTACTTTTGGTCATTGATTTCAAATGGATGACAGCTTAAAAAAATTTCTGGAAAATTCAAATATGTTGATCTCTGAGAGGTATAAATAAGGCATGCAATGACCTAAGTAATACTGCATTGTATTTATATTACTATGTCATTTGATATTAATATATGGTTATATACATATCTACATAAAAATATTACTATATAATTTATTACTAATACTTTATTGATAATGAAGTAGTTTGTAAAGGAAATAGATCCTAGTAATCTATTTATTTGAAATGTTATATCAGATAGGGTAGAGAAGTTCCTTTTTTTTTTTTCTTAAGAGATTGGATCTTGCTGTGTTGCCCAGGCTGGAGTACAGTGGTACAACTGTAGCTCACTGCAGCCTTGAACTCCTGGGCTCAAGCAATCCTCCTGCCTCAGCTTCTCATGTAGCTAGGCCAACAGGCATGTGCCACCACACCTAACTAATGTTTTGTAGAGATGAGGGTCTCGCTATGTTGCTCAGGCTGGTTTAGAATGCCTGGCCTCAAATGATTCTCCTGCCTCAGCCTCCCAAAGCACAGGCATGAGCCACTGTGACGGGCTGGGAAGTTCTAATTTAACAAAAGAAAAGCTCTAATAAATATGATGAATAAATTTCAATTATTTAGAAAGCAAACAAGCACCTCCTGAAAGTCCCTGTGCTCTGCGTTGGGGGGGAAGAGTTGGAGAGGGCACTGTCTACGCACTGGCCTGGACTATGCTAGGGCATGACAAGTTTCAGAGTAAGGAAAGATTTTTCCTCCACACTCAGAATCCCTCAGAGCAGGCTCTGCAGGCTGATGCTCCTTCCTAGGAAGTAGGGAGTGGATATCATTCGGTTAGGATTTCATCCTCACACTCTACATGACTAAATCTCATTGCTTTTCACAGCCTTTCCATACCTACCACATTCCCTAACCAAGTTGCCAATACAGTCAATCCTTTCAATAAGCACTTTGGATAAACAAAAGTGTATACATAATTTGAATTGGTTACTAGATCCTTTTCAGTTTTGAAGAGGGAGGTGAGTTACAGAGTGGAGTGGATGAAGGAAGCCTTAGGGAAGGTCAATAGAGGCTACAGGTGAAGGAGGCTGCAGACCAGAGGAGGAAGTCCACAGTGTCTCAGCTTACTCATTTTCCTTTAATGGTGTCAGAATTCCAGAATTTTTTCTTGGAGGTATTTTTGTCATACAGCTAGAAATATAGGTAACTGCGTATTCTTAAACAATTGTTTAACAGAGTCATATTTTGGAGCCAGAGGGGATTATAAACTTAAATGAAGGTCTTTTGTTCCTAGGCATTAATCCAGACATGATTATAGGGCCTCACATGGAGCAAATGATTAATAGTTGCGGGTAGAAGTCAAAATTGCTGAATGTTACTTCTCTTAATATACTACTATTCCTTTGTAAAACTTAGCAGTTTCTCTGTATGTTATACATCCTGGGAAAACAAAATTCAGAGGTTGTGTCTGGTGTTTTGAGAACATTAGAAAAAAACTAGGTCACAGATTTAGGTTTTTAGCCTTGTTGGGGTATTAAAATGTGAATTATTTTGAGAATCAGATGCTGACCACAGTCAGAAAGGATGAGGTTAACAATAAGACTGACTTAATAAAACAGTTTTTTAGATTGTAGAGTGCTGCCTTACATCATATTATAGAACATTAAATAACATTGTCTGTTTTTAAGTAACCATTGTGGTCTGTAAATATACAGGCACTCAGTAAGTTTTAGAAACACTGGAGAGGAGAAGTCATTTAAATGCTCTACCTTCTACTATGAATTGTGATGTTATGGAATAAAATAGATAATAAGCACAATGAATTTGAATTCTTAGAAATGAATATATTTTAAATTCTAAGATACTGCATTTATAATACAAATATGATCAATCCTGTAGTCTTAAGATACATTCCTATTTTAAATATCTATTTAAAAGAGAAATATTTAAATATCTATTATAAAATAGAAATATACATTTCTATTTTAAATAGGATTCTCATAATACATTATTTTACTGTTTGAAGTAACTAGCCCTTTTCCTATGAACTTAAGTTAGTCTGGTAATAAACATTATGCCAAAATTCCTTCAGGATAAAATACCCCTTTTAGAGTTCAGAAGTGGGCAGTGTGGCAGGCATCCCCATCTGTAACACTGCACACAAGCAATATGGAAAGAAATCATGAACACTTCAGGAAAGTGCAGTAGAAAATGATGCCAGAGAGAGCTGGGGCATTTGGGGGCCAATGTGA